ATTGTTATTGTATTTCCCCACGAACTGCCTTAGAGAAGGGTATAGTTTTTTAAAGAGAAAAGAAGCTATACTTACCTTTTGGACACCGCATATACCTATGAAAGGATTCCCTGTGCTGTGTTGTCGTTATAGAGTAAATTAAGAAGGCTTTACTCTGTAACAATATGAAGAAATATAAATAGAATTACACATTAACAAGTCTTCCTCTTTTATTTAATAATTCGAACTCAAATTAACAGTTTTTTTTATTTTATATGAAGGAATATAAATAGACTTACTCTTTTATTTAATTATTCGTACTTAAAATAAAACTTTTCGTTCAAACTATCATTAATTAATCTGTTTTCTATTCTTTCTTTTAATATTTTATTCTATTTATAATTTTATCAAAACTTAATTAGTAAAATTAAAAAGATTTTTAATTAATGTTAATTGTTTTAGTATAGAATTGAACTAATATTTTTTATTGAAAATTTTAATAATATAAAAACAATACTATATAGACTCAAATTTACAATACCAGTACCTTGTTTAACGTAAATAGGGACTTTAGCAAATGCATTCCCGTAGAGGTTCTTATTTTCGTCGGACGAATTAAAAAAAATCATAAATAAGGTGATTAATGATTCTAAATTGTTAAATGATTCTCGATTTATAAAAACAATGATCAGTATAGGAAAAAATTTAAAAAATAGCTGGATACTAGCGTGAAAACATTAATTCAAGCCAAGACTGAAAAACAATACTACAATAGGTGGCGCCTCTAGTTGAAGGCTTCAAAATTAAATAGAATTGTTTTATTTAATGACCAGATTTACCTTGATAAATCTTTTCGAATGATTTGAATTTTTCTTAATGATTTCGAGAATGTTTCCTATACCATTGTAGACTGGGTTTTTGAAGCAAAAACTACCATCCATCTCATGACTTAATTCTGAAAATATTAATTTAAATTATTGTATTATAGCGATAGGTTACATTATAAAATTAATACATTCAATTGCGAAGGGTTCTACTACAAAATTCTGAAAGACAGATCCTGAAAAAGTATAATACCAACAAAATTAACATGAATTAGTTATAATGATTTAATTGGTATTATGTTTTTTCGAAAATGACTTTCGGAATTTCATGGTAAAATCCTTGGGAAAGGTTATATGTCAGTAGGATTTATTAGCAAAATTTAAATTTAGTTTAAATACGAAAATTATATAAATTCAATTCTTTATAAGTTAATTGATTTTAATTCTGTATATTAAATCATCAATTAAATAGTTTTTATATACAATAAGGTGGGAAACAAATTTAAGAGCTTACATTCAAACTTTGTTTAAATGCTGTAAGATAATTAATCTACAATAATCATACGATTCAGAGTTCCGACTCGTATGTACTCGTTAAATCAAGCCAATTTGGCTAAAAAAAAGAAAGGATCGATATATATGTCCTTAATTTATTGAATAAAAATTGTTTTCATGTTGACCTAGGCCCTAGCACTCCCTTTTATTCTATTGTTAAAGTTTTTTGCCAAGAATTTTTCTATTATATTGTCATCTGGAAAAAATCATCTTTTATAACTGAAGATTTTCACACAATTAATAATTTATTACCTTCTTTCAAAGATAATAACATAACACTCGTCTGTAATTCTAATTTAGAAAATACTATTAATGAAAAATTTGATGAATTTGCAAAACATCAAATTTCTTTAGATTTTTGGACAAATAATGAAAATACAATTATTGATTTTTTCTTAAAGAAAAGTTTTACATTTACTATATAAATGTGGGATATAATAATCAAGATTCATTGGGCACTCTAAAAATTTATCCCGAATTATTGTCAGGATGGCTGATAGCGGGTAGATTATGTATTATATTGATATCGATATAGTATGTTTTATTAAAATACGTATCATAAATACAAAAAAATCACAATACTTAAGCAAGTTCCAAATAATGATTTTTCTGGACTTGATATAATACATAATCTAGAATTGTGGTTAGCAACCTCGGCAGATCATGATGTTATGAATTTTTTTAAACTTTGAATAAAGGTTTCTCTTACGAATCTGTAGACTTCAAATAAAAAAAAATTACTAAATTTGGTCTGGTAGTTGTCGAGATATCTTCACTTGTTCAAAGTTTGAGAAAATTTTTATTTGATAGATGTTGAATGTTTTAAAAACTTTTATTGAAGATATATTGATAACCACCAAGCCAAATTCGATTTTTTTATTTTTTATAAATGCTACATGTTTGTTGAATTTAAATATATTATAAGTGTTTATAAGTGAAAAGTGGTTTAATCCATTCTGGATTTCAACTAATTTTACAAAAGAATTGCCTAACTCTGGATAAACAAAAAAGTATAATAAATCTATGAATTTAAATTGTTGAATTGTAGTAGATTTATTCAACATTAATTTTTTATCATATAATCGTTAGAAATTTTGCCAAAAATTGATTACGGCATCCATGAAGCAATTTATATTAATTAATCGCAAAAATGAAGTGTATAGTAACAATGATTTAAATTCGAATCTTGAAATGTTAAAATATTTTTTTGATGATTTGATTTTTCTTGAAGAGGCATTTCTTGTATGTAAGTTTTGATAGCAAGGTGTTAGGCATTTGTTATAATGATGATAATAGGAATGAAATATTATATATAAAGAATTTGCATTGTAATATTATGAAGAAAATAAAACAGTTAGGCCAAATTTTTTAATACAAGAATGAAATAAATAAAACGCATTCTTTGAAACTAGTTTCTATTTCGCTTATAATAAAAATATTTTAACACAATATAAAACCAAAAGTTTAAGCTATGATATAATTTCCTTAATTATATAGTCAACAGGATTTGGATTAAAAAAAAATTCAAGAAAATTTTTAGCATAAACACATCCAAGATCAGCTGATTCTTTAATAAGACTGATAGCATATTCTATTTCTAAATTACTGGCGGTTCTTTTATTATATAATTTTGTTCCCATTAAATAAATTATGAAGGATTTAATAATAATGTTTTTTTTGAAACTTTCTGAATTTTTTAAAAAATGAAAGATATTATACAACATATTTTTTTCTTCTGCAAATTTAAATAGATCACGGAGATCATTTAAAAATGTATCTTCTGCTAGTAAAAGATTATTCTCAAGTACTTTATAGATCATGTATGCTTCATTATTGTCATTATTGATAGACATTATTCTTATTCTGAAAGATACTAATGCAGTTTGAAATATGGGTATTGAATCAATTTTTATATAAATGTGATCAAAAAATGACAATACTTTTTAATTTACTGCCTTTTTTATTCTTGAATCTGCAATAATTAGATTTCAATTTAAATTTAATTGTTATTATTCAATTAGATAAAATTAACAATTGATGAAAAAATATATCTAGCGAAGGCTTAAAATATTTTTAAAATTTATTTACAATGAATCCAGAATTCAAAGAATGGGTTTTTCACTATATTGTTTTAAGTAAATGAAAATAAAATTTATTGTTAATAAAATTAACCGATATTTGTTCGTGTATATTTGAGACATTAAAATAAGTTAAATTTAAAAAAATGTCCGAAAGGGTGAAAAGAACTATTAGTTTGGCATTACTATTTATTCTATTTTTTATTCTCGCATTTCTTTGTCCATTACTTGGTAACAATTAATGTTCTAATACAGTATTTGCACGTAATAATGTACATGGGTGTTATTTCGAAACTTTCATTTTTAAAAAAATTTTTTTTTTGACTCAAAATAACGCCAAAAAATAGCGCACACAATAAATATTACATATTTGACAAGTTCATCTATAAAAGAGGTTTCTTTGTCAAAATTTATTCGAATTAGGCGCACCTGCGCGTTATTACGTGTAAATAGGATCCTACTTGTTGACAATTCAGTACTTAAATTCTTTTATTATAGTGTTGGCAAAAGTCAAACTTTTTGAGCAAACTAGCAGTGTTCTTAAGTATAATAAAGGAATTGAATATGCGAAAGTACAAGAAAAAAGTTTAATTGAAAATTATTTAAATTCTTATTTACTTTTTTTCACAATTTTTTAGATACATCTCGCTTACTTTATTAACAGCTGGTATATTGGTTTTACAAATTTTTTATTCAAAATATTTTTGCTTAAAACTTATAATTTTTAATTTCTAGCAATTAGTTTATATTCGATATTTTGTTATTACTGTTATGAAGCGAAAAACTTTAGGTATCTTACTACTTTGCTAAATCTATTTTAATTTTTCTTTGTTATATTTAATACTTAATTTGTAACACTTCTAGAACAATTTTTATAATCTTATTATTTTCTTGGTTTATTTTACCAAGTGAGTGAGTCCACTTATAAAATAAATTTGAGTCTTATTTGATTAAACTAATTTTCAATTTAATTTTAAAAGTCATTTATACAATCAGAACTATACACGATATTGATCCTATTCCATTTATTTGTTCATCAAATTATCCATATACATTCAAGACAATTGAAACAGTGTGTAAAATTCGAGCTGCAAATTCTATTTGCATGTGGATGTATTTAACTTTATTACTGTAAATAATTATTTGCATTGATAAAAGATTTTATAATGACAGTATAAAAAAGAAGATTATCAGTAAGCCAATATTAGAGTCATCTACTATTCATATGGACGAAAAATTTTTAGTGTAATGTTGTGATTATTAAAATTCGGATCAATAACATGTAATCCCAGAATCACAAAAATGAAGATTTCTGCCAATATGTATTACAAGTTTATTATAAATTTGATTTCAGATTAAATACTTACCGAATATTAATGATGCTTGATGAAATTGATGAAGCCTGATGAAACATATAGTTTCATCTGATACTTTGTCAGATTATGTGTTTTTTATCATGCTAAAAAAATAAATAACTAAGATTATGTGTATAGAGATCAATCCCAATAAGAAAGATAAAATTGACTTTATTATAACCATCCAGCGGTGTCAAACTTCATATATTGTTTAGCACCGGTCTTATTTAATAAATTTTATCTACAAAATTAATTATTCTATTTATTTAGATATGTAATGCCCAATTTTTTTATCTTGGTATTTAATAAAAGATACATACACAAAATATGATAAGTTCCTATAAAAGATCTCTGAACAATATCAGTTAAGTTGGCTTTCTGACCAATAGAAAAATTTATAATTAATTTAACCAATATGGTAATTTACTTGACCAATAGAAAAATTTATCTCGATTAACTTTGAAGTTATCTTCATGAGTTAATAGTCAAAAGAAAGCTTACGATATAAGCTTACTTTTGTATTAAGTCATCAAGATATATAGCTGTGAAAGTTATGATATTAATATTTTTTGAAATGTCGATTGGTTCTTAACATTCTTCTGAACAATTTAGGAGATCATGAAACATCCACTCATAATAAAGTTAGAACTAAGATCTACACGTAGGTTAGGGTGTTCAGTTAAATAGTTTCAAATTTAGTAGTATTATTAAAAATATTATACAATTTGACATATATTCATTTACTTGCAATTCACAAAATTGAATTATACCAGTTAGAGAAAATTATCACTTTTCAACTATCTTTGATCGCATTTTTACTTCTCGACATTATCGTTATATATATTAATCTATTTAGAAATTTCACACTTAAACTATAAAGAGCTTTTTTCATAACCCTCAGTATTTATTATGCATATTATATGTCACTTTATAATATATTGTATATAATTTAACCTAATGTATTTAACAATAATTTTCGCGCTTCTTGTGCGGCATTATCTTTTTGCTTCCTTAACCAATTTTTTGCATCAGGAAGAAAATTTTCAACTTTGACAATTTTCTTATAGCCTTCATCAATATTTTTTTCGCAACCGAACCCAGAAAGTAAATGTAATGCTATTTTATATTTTAATCGATAGTTAAGGGCAATCATATTCCATTGTTTTATATGTATTAAAAGCTTTTTCATATTGTATTATCATTTATTTTCTTTATAATTTGTTAAAAAAATTGGTTTCAAATGATTGCTTGTTTTAATTAGAAATTTTATAATCATGAGGACCAAATTCCCATGGAAAAATTTTGCTAATATTCAAAGATAATAATAACTACTACCACCAGAATTAGTGTAAATCCAAGTATAAATCTATCATGGCAAAGATTAATATTAATTAAACTATATTCAATTACACAAGGATTTTGGAGTTCTGACCAATTTTTTTTTTTTTGTCCAAATTAAGTTTATAAAGTTGAAGAACTTTACTATCATCTTTATCAGTACCAATACCATAATAATAACAGTACATTAAATGATTTCTGGCATTTTCTCTGTAATTTGAGTTACTATCATTATAAACTTGTAAATAGTATTCGAAGGCTTTCTTTTCATCTATACTAGTACCATAACCAAATTCTCGATGCTTTGCTAACCAAAATTTTGCATCATTTGATTTTAGTTAGGATTGCTGGCAATAAAGAAAAAAGCGTGATATGAAGCTATATAATTTTGTTTGTTATAATCTTCTTTTGCTTTATTAAATAGTAGTTCAGCATTATCAACAGTACTTTTTTCGTTTTCAGCCATCATTTTTATATCTCTCGATTAAAAATACTTTTAAATTTATATTTTTAACTGTACACCTGTATACAATTAAGCTAATATCAATTCATAGAATTACAATTTCATAAAAGTTTGGTTACTTTAAAATAAAATTAAACAGAAGCATGGTTTAACTTGCTAATTTGTTGAATTATATTTATTTTTATTGTTTATGTTAGAAATAACAGCAGAGACAGTGCCCGATCCAAAGTGAATCTCTCTCGTCTGTAATCAATTGCAAGTTAAATTATTTATGTTGATTCAATTGTGATGGATATAATCCCTCGCCGGTTTTAATATATGTGTAACATTAACGGTCTCTGCTGGTTTGTTAGAAATTAAGAACTATTTTTTATTTTAAATAGGCAAATATAAACTTAATTTCTTTTTTTCTAGCAAAGTACTTACAATTTTTAATATTTCATGCGGACTAAAAGCTTGTTCATTTCTCTTCAATTTTAGCAATTAATTGCTAATAATTTTTTTTACTTCTAATCAGGCTTAATTTAGGTCGAAAACTTTAAAATTTATTAAATAAAAAGTTTCCCTAATATTAAAAAAAAAACCCCCAAAAAAATTTCAAAATTCTTTTAGTTTTATCATTTAAACAAGAACTAAGATCAATAAAACACTTCAATTTACAATTATCTATGATAAAGGAAAAAATATAGTCAGATGAAAAATTGTTGGTCTGAACTTTATATATGGAAATTTATATAATTTATATCATTTAGATAAACTATAATTAAATTAGATGTCAAATATAATGATTATTACTTACCGACACAGGACACTACCACAAAAGAAAGACCAGAGGCATATTCCTTTTTTTCAAGATTTATCGTTGCATTTTCTAGAGTTAGTCCTTGACTCTTATAAACTGTGATAGCAAGACAAGTCAGATATTTCTTTAATATTCAATTTTTTGCACTGACTTATTTTACAGTATTAATGTTTTTTATAGTTGGTAAATAATTATACTACAGTACGCTCTTTATTTATGCACACGAAAAAAGTTCAAAATATAATAGATTACTTTTTTACTATGGACTTGCTTTATATTGATTAGTCTTGCACTTAAAGAGTTATATTAGATGTTGTAAAGTTTTTTCCAAGTTCTCTTTAACCCAATAAATCAGTTTTTAATGTAATGGTATTCAAACTAAAGAAAATAAATTTAATTTTTAAACTTTTTCGTAATCAATTCATAATATATTTTGTCTAGAAATATGATTAAGTTTTTTAAAAAATATCGATATTTGAGGGGTGGGGTGTGTAATTTTAGACAAAACCAAGTGATGCTAATTGTCACACAACTAAGGTATCAAATTTGAAATTAAAGAAGCTTTCGAAGATAAAAATAAACTAAACAATGATTAACTAAAAAAATGTTTGTACAATTTTTGATGAATTTAGTGAATTTTCATTAGTTAAAAAGATTAGAAATTTTTATAACGGTTCCTTGAGCTTAAAAATTTTACGTTGCTAATTCTTTTCAGATTTTTCCTTTATATAAAACTTTGCACGTAGTCGTATTATAGTGTCGGGGAAATGAGTTGGCAAAGAAGTAACTGATCAATAATATAAATTTTCAACGCTAAAAATTAGCGTTAGGGTTGAACTAAAAGATTATATTGGCAGTATAGATTTATTCAGAAGAAAGTGCCAAAATTTGCCAAAATTTTCATAAGCAAATTATTAAAAAAAAAACATAGAAATAAATATCACTACTACCAGTAACGACTATTATACATATAAACTTAAATAATAGAATAATTTAAAGGTGTAATCCATATAACTTATAAAAGTCAATTATAGAGGTGTGGCAGCTTAGTGAAGTGGTTAAGTCGTCACCCTCTCCAAGTAGCAGGTCTAGGGTTCAAATCTCATGGACGATGAAAGTTTGAAAAATAGGTTTGCGTTATGGTAACGGATCTTCATTAAGTTGGGGCTTAGATTAACCTGTAACTTCGG